CTTGATATTCTTAATGGCTGTAAAGTGATTGGAAAGTATCTGTGATTCATATTGGTAACAAAGGTCACAGGTACTGCTAATATTACCCTGGTTCATTGCTTAACTTTCAGAGATGAAGAAAATGCTAAAGAAATGCTTGATTTCAGTTCCAGTTTAATGAAGATAAAGATACTGTTTTTTTCTACCATGCAAGTCCTAATTTCTTTCATAGACTTTTTAGGGGTTTGTAGTTCCTAGGTTACGAAACACTGGTCATTCAACAAAAAAAGAGCAAACCCATTTATCACTGGGCAAGACCTATAAACGGAATCTTCTTCAAAGAAGACAGATGGATGGCTAACAAGCACATGAAAAACATGCTCATCGTTCCTAATTATCAGAGAAATGCAAGTCAATACCACCTTGAAATATCACCTAGCCCCAGTGGGCTATTCTCTTCTACAAAGGCCCAAAACTGCAGATGCCAGTGAGAGGGTGGAGAAAAGGAAACATCTTTAAACTGTTGGTGGGATTGCAAACTAATGCAGCCTGTTTGAAGGGAAGTATGGAGAATCCTCAAAAAACTAAAAGTAGACCTTCCATTTGATCCTGCAATCCCATTATGAGGTATCTAACTAGAAGAAAAAGTAATTTTACCATAAAGACATATGCACAAAAATGTTTATTGCAGCTCGGTTCACAATGGCCAAGATGTGGAATCAACCGAAGTGCCCACTTACACATGAATGGATAAATAAACTGTGGTATATATATACCATGGAGTACTATTCAGCCATAAAAAGATGATGACTTTACATCTTTTGTATTAGCCTGGATGGAGTTAGAGGACATTCTGCTTAGTAAAGTATCACAAGAATGGAAAAGCAAGAATTCAACTACTCAATATTCATATATTAGTATATGAAATCAGTAAATGAATAACTACACATCTACACAAGAGAAAAACACAAACTCAAGTAGGGGAGCATATGGGAGGAGGAAGGAGAATTGGTATGCTGTCACCTAATAGGCATAATATAAGGGTATATGGCACAATTCCTAAGTGAGGGGCATAGCTGCGATGTGGACTTTACCCTATAAATACAAACAAAGTTACCTAATTGTATTCATATTGATCTGAAATTTTTTAAAAACCCACTGGCAGGTGCCCGTAGCTCAGTGAGTAGGGGGCTGGCCATATAATACGCCCCGGTGGCAGGTTCAAGCCTAGGCTGGGCCTGCTGAACAGCACTGACAATTACAACAAAATAAATAGCCAGGTGTTGTGGTGGGCACCTATAGTCCCAGTTACTTGGTAGGCTGAGGAACGAGAATCACTTAAGCCCAAGAGGTTGCTGTGAGCTGTGATGCTATGGCACTCTACCTAAGGTGACATAGTGAGACTCTGTCTCAAAAAACAAAACAAACAAACAAAACCACTAGTCATAAAATGATACCTTATTATATAAAATATTTTAAACTATAGAAATCAAGCATTTATGCCAGAGAATTAAATCCATAGAATATAATATCCACGTAAACTAAAACAATTAAAAATGTTACAATTTTATGTTATTTGTGACTATTTTTAAAGTAATTGTTTCAGATCATGAGAGTTAAATATAGTAATTTCTCATTACAGTTTTGGAAAGATATTGTTGATGATAATGAAGTTCGTGACCTCATTTCTGACAGAAACAAGTCTCATGGTAAGTCAATGAAAGCAAAATTATTAAACAATTTTTAAGTGTGAATAATAAGCAAAATAACAATTTAAGTAAAATGTGTATTTTCTGTTGCAGAAGGTACATCAGGAGAATGGATTTGGGAATCTTTATTTCATCCACCTCGAAAGCTGGGCATTAATGACATTGAAGGACAGCGGGTACTTCAGATTGCAGTGATTTTGCGAAATCTTTCCTTTGAGGAGGGCAATGTTAAGCTCTTGGCAGCTAATCGTACCTGTCTTCGTTTCCTATTACTTTCTGCACATAGTCATTTTATTTCTTTAAGGCAATTAGGCCTTGACACATTAGGAAATATTGCAGCTGAGGTAAGCATGTGACAGTAATTTAAAATAGTTCTGTAGTTAGCACATTAATTTTAAAAGTTTAGGATGTGGCATTTTATAGTTGCCATATTTACAGAATATTAAATGCATAGATACATTTTATGCTAAAAGTGGTAATATAGAAGTATCACAAAAAAAAATATTTGAAATGATGCTTCAGATTCATTGGTGGCTAGTGTTGGAATAATTACATTTTTTAAAGAATGCAACCTTGTCCTGTTCGTTTTTATTAAAGTTGAAATACACAGCTCTGAAAGAAGCATACCTCAGTGGGAGTGTTCTTTTTTCCTTACAGCTTTTATTGGACCCAGTTGACTTCAAAACTACTCATCTGATGTTTCATACTGTTACAAAATGCCTAATGTCAAGGGATAGATTTTTAAAGATGAGAGGTGAGCAGTCACTTAAGTTTTTATTGTCTCAAGGGAACAGATTTTCATTTGTTACAAAGCAACATATGTGCATATGTGTGTGTGTTTCAGGCATGGAAATTTTGGGAAATCTTTGCAAAGCAGAAGATAATGGTGTTTTAATTTGTGAATATGTGGATCAGGATTCATACAGAGAGATCATTTGTCATCTCACTTTACCTGATGTGCTGCTCGTGATCTCAACACTTGAGGTGCTATATATGCTCACTGAAATGGGAGATGTCGCTTGCACAAAAATTGCAAAAGTAGAAAAGAGCATAGGTAAGACTGGACAAAAAAAAATTTGAATTACTTTCTTTAAGGAAAAATACCTAATACGGTGCTATACAAAAACCTTAATTGATATTGGGGTTTTATGTTTTATTTTGAGGTACTTATTTACATTATTCTTTCTATCTGTTTTGGATAAGGAAGAAACACATATCATATAGAGACCAGGAATATGTGGCAATCAGCAGTCAATCCCTGATTCTTCTTTTTATTCCTATTGTTAATATATCAGATTTGAAATTGACAAAACTTCTATGTCTGACTTCTCTGGGAGCAGGTCTTTCTGTTTCATATGGTCTGCCACTACTATTAAAAGCTAAGTAAAGGGCAGCGCTTATGGCTTAAAGGAGTAGGGCACTAGCCCCATATGCCAGAGGTGGCTGGTTCAAACCCAGCCCTGGCCAAAAAACTGCAAAAAAAAAAAAAAGCTAAGTGAAACAGGCTTCCTTCCTTTCCTAGAAGTGCTAATATTGGCACTATCCTTAAAAGTTAATGAACTCATCCTACTCATTCTTAAGAGTTGTCAGTTTTAAACACTTGTTAAAGCATTTTACTTAGTAATTAAAATGACGTCCTTCTTGGAAATAAATTTTAATATTAGAGTTAATAAAGATTTAGCTTGAAAATTGCTATTACTGAGAAATTAAGATAACACTTTCTTATTAGTGGTTCCTAAATGTAGATCTGTGTCAGAATCACTTTGGAAGCTTATAAGAACATAGATATCTAGCCTCCACTACAGAGCTACTAAATCAGTCTTCAGAGATTGAGCCTAAAAATCTTTATTAAAAATCCCAGATAATTCTGATGTACAATAATTTCATGGGTTGGCATTTAAGAAGCAGTTTTCTGTACAACATATGTTCATCAGTAAATGCATTGTTTAATAATGTTATTGACTAATAACTATTGGTTTTTAAATTTATTTTAGACATGTTAGTGTGTCTGGTTTCTATGGATATTCAGATGTTTGGCCCTGATGCACTAGCCGCAGTAAAACTTGTCGAGCATCCAAGTTCCAGTCATCAAGTTTTATCTGAAATTAGGCCACAAGCTGTAGAGCAAGTCCAAACCCAGACCCATGTAGCATCTGCCCCAGGTTAGTGTCTTTACATGTTCTTTTCCAGTATGTTTATGAGACTTAATACTAAGGATAAATTTCAATATGCAGTATAAGTAACTGATATTTTAGAGTAGGCCAAAGAAGAATTTGCATGTTACCCTAATTTCTTAGATATTATACATTCCAGGCGTAGCAGGATCCAGATGAACCAGAGAAAGAATAGTGTAGGGGGTATATCCAGTTGAGAAGGATTTAGGGGAAAGTGGGGGATTCAGTATTCCCAATTGTGAGATCAATAAGAAGTGCTCCAATAGGCTTATTTTTTGTGATTTAAGTGATGGGAAATTGTGACATACCAGGAACAGGTTAATCACATATTACCATATAATTTTCTCAGGTGAGCAGTAGGATGCTTAAGTACCCTTATCGCTTCTCAATCTCTCTGACCCAATACCTAGAATCTGAGCCTATTATAAGCAGACACACCTGCATGTGTATAAACACATCCAAGCATATACACTTGCACGTGTGCACCCTTCCTAGAGTCCTTTGGTTCAATTCTGTTTTAACTCCACTGTAATTGCAAATGCAGACATGTCTAATGACCAGCCTTCTCTTTAGTCCTTCTCCTGACTCATTATGAGTCATTACTTTTCTGTTTTAACACTTCCAGCCTTTTTGTAGAGTGCTTTCTCTACCTTTGTCCTAACAATCTATCTTTCACTTTACTTGCCCTTCTACTTCTTACCCTCTCACCTGCTGTCCCCAAGACACTTCTTTTCCTTGTATTTTTTTAATAGAAACTGCTTTTTTCCTCAGTTAATCTCACCTCTCATATTGCAGTTAATATGGAGGCTGTATAGAATGAATTTCTTTAACTTCTTACTCTTTTACTTACAGACTTATTAGCATCTGAACTTACTCTCCTTTAGCTTCTGCTTGTCTCAAAGAGTTGCTAACTTCTGAATTTGTGCTCTGAATATCAGTCCTTCCCATCTCCTCATTCCTATATCTTTTTTTGTTGTTGTTGTTCCCATATCTTACTCTTTTCTTTTTTTACATGCTTTTTCCTTTCAGCTAGAAATACATTCAGTTCTTTCTCATCTACCTTACTATCTGCAAACCAAAAATCTCATTATTCTTAATCTTTAGCTAATATATCCATCTGTTCACAAGTCCTGTCGAATCTTCCTAAATACCCTAGCCTTGTCAATTGCCGGTGCTTATGAGTTGGTTCAGATTCTCATCATATTTCTCCAGCTATTTCTTCTCACATTCATCCGTGGTGTATTAAAATTATATACTCTATTTATGCAAAGTGTGTAATATGTATCACATATTTCATTGATTTCTATTAATGTCCTTCTAAAGTATGTGGGTAGAATGATAGCCTATGTTACTTTAATTTACTTGAATCCACCTAACAGAAGTGGACCAATTATAGAAGGCAAAAAATGGGTAATTCTGACTGCCAGTCTACTCAGAGTTTTCATTCACAAGTAATAAAAGTTAAACAGCCAGGTCATACCCATACTTGACCAGAGTACTAGTCTGTTTGATAAGAGTAGGAATGGTTTCTCAGCCTTCACAAATAAATCAAATAGTTTATGTTGCTGGTTGACCAGGTAGTGAGGATATGTTTTTCTTCAGAGAAGACACTGAAGATTAAGTTAATTGAAAGCCATAAAGAAGCAGATGATTAGACAAATGATCGGTATATACACTGAACATAATGAGCCATTTGGGAATATGCAATGGTGATTATGATGAAGGCTATTTTTGCTGTATGGTTGACCATTGACCTTAATAGGTCTATTGACAAGTCAATTAATGAACCTACATTCTCTGATCTAAGATTTGGTCCTCATTTGGCAAATGGACAAATTTAAACATTGAGAGCTTATTCATTTATTTAGTAATTCATTGATAGGGATAGGAATAGAAATAGGAATAGGTCCCTAGGGACCTAAAAGATTTAACTTTGAGCTGGAAAGTACTTTATTACTTATGCTGTCCCTAAATGACAACTTTAAATTATTTGATTAGTTATGCTTTTATAGTATGGTCTCCCCTCTGCCTCCTATAGTTTGATATTGCACTCTATGGAATGGTCACCTTCAAACTTTCTCTCATTTACCTCATTCCTATGAAAATTTTTGTAATCTTCCATCCATGCTTAGGTTTATAGCTAAATTTCTTCAACATAATTTAATTGCAAAGAACGTATTTTTTGATATATATTAAACTGAATTTTAAAAATAAAATAGTTGCAATGCCTTTTGTACTTGGTAGAATCTCTGTATCATCCATTTAGAAAATACACAGCCTCTTTAACATCAGAAATTTTATATTTCTTTTTTACCTTGAGCTCATATTTGAGTATCCTCACAGAATTTGATACTAATATGTATTTTATGTTTGAAATTCTGTTGTTCATTCCCCTGTTAATACATTTTAGCTATAAAATAAATATTATGTTTTGAAATTTCTTAGTTATTCTATAAAGCCATGTTTAAAAATTTATCATTACATGTTTTAATAAAAAAACAGTACACTAAACAATAGTAAATACAAGCTTTTATAAGTAATTATTAAACAAAAAGAAAAATTATTACAAGTGCATCTCTTAATAAGATGAATGGGACTTTCCCCTCCAATCCTGTAGAAACTGTCTCTCCATGAATATTACATATTGCTAGCATGAAACAGGAATCAGCATTAGTTCTGTTTTCTTTATATAGAGATAAATTGAAAACTCTAGTTCATATCAATGAATAGGTGAGGACGGAAGTTATAGTTCTTTGAATTTCTAAAGAATTATCTAAAAAGTATTAAATTTATTTTTAATGATCATCTGACAACTTGTGTTCTCCTTTTTTGTTGTTGAAATAAAAAAAGTAACCAAGTACCTGACTTAAGAGTATTTGTAGCCATAGGCATTAGATACAGATATTCTTTTTTAAGCTTCTAGAAAATTTATAAAAAAGATATTAAGGTATGACTATAAATTATATTTCCTATTCTTTTACTTAGAGGTTACTTGTGAAACCTAATATGTAGTATTCAAGAAGTTTTAGCTCAGGGGTTCTCAGGTTTTATGATACATCAGAATTGTCTGATGGACTTAACTAAAACTCAGATTTCTGGGATCCATAACCTGAATTACTGAATCAGGTAGAACCTGAGAATTTTCATTCCTAACAATTTCCTGTGAGATGCTGAAGCACCAGTTCCAAGGATTATACTTTGAGGATTACTGGGTTAGGAAAATTGAAATATTGCTAAAGACCAGTACAGTGTGTTAGATGTCTGTAAAGTATTTTTTATTATGTGCTTCAAATATATTTTTGTGAAAACCATGGCACTACAGATTTACCTCATTCAATTTATGAAAGATGCTACATAACCTGATGAAAGTAGTTTTTCTTACCAAGTCTTTTGCTTAATCAGATTCACTTTCTGTTACTTTCTTGAAAGTAATTCTATGACACTTTCTTTACCTTCAGAATTGTAAGAGTTAAAGTTGCTGTGACTTTGTAATCTGAATGAAATAAGAGACTGTCACCTTAGATAATTCTGTGCTTTGCCTACCTAAGATTCTGCCTCAGAAATAATGTATTCTTAGACAGTAGTTGAGAGATAGGGGAGGCAAGGACATTAAGCATAATTGTCATCACTCTATATTATCTGAATTCAGAACATACCAAAGGGTCTGAATACCTCTAATTTTGATGCCCAACTTTGTACATAAGTGTAATGTATAAAACTCTAGGATTGACAGGAAACTCTACCATACTGCCTTGGTTAAGAACCTTTGTGGACGCCAATTCTCTAATTCTCCCCTTGGTTTTCCAGAGATTTTTACATATAAACTACTCTAACCCTCATAACAATGTATGACATCAGTGTAGAGTTACTTTTCCTCGTTTATAGACAGAAATGTTGAATAATTTACTGGTGGCCACAGCTAGTGAGTGATGGAACTTTCTGACTCTAGAGTTGTGCATTTAACCATAATGTATAATCTTACAGTGCTGTAAAAGATAGGTGAGAGTTAAGCCTTTTTATTTCAAAATGGGAGAACAATTAGCAAAGAGAAGGCAAAACAGTTTTAGAAAGAATGCATATGAAAGACAATTACTTGGGAATGAATTCCTTTCAAAGTACAAGTGCCTTTATATCATTTGGAATGTCTTCAGAAATCTTGAGGGCAATTCTACTCAGTAGCTACTTTTTATAGTAATTATACACTTCCATTTGAAATTCTTAATTGTGACTTGGTTATTTGTCTTTATGCATTGTTTATAAAATTGCTCATAATTTCTAATGTTCCATGAAATTGATTGTTAATTGATACAGGCGATTTCATTCAGAGGGTATTCTCTTTTTTCATAACAAATGATGAAGGAAAGGAAAGATTTCTACATAAATTCAGCCCCTAGAGTAGTAATTTCTATACTGGTATCAAGTTAGAAGAAGAAAAAATAAGCTGGGTTTGCTTATCAACAGGAAAATGATTTGGGCTCTAATTATTACATTTGCTTAAGAAGCAGCATATTGGTGGTGCCTAGAGTTCAGTGGGTAGGATGCTGGCCATATACACCCAGGCTGGTGGGTTCAAATCTGGCCCTGGCCAGCTAAAGCAAGAACGTCAACTGCAACAGAAAAATAGCCGGGCATTGTGGCGGGCGCCAGTAGTCCCAGCTACTTAGGAGGCTGAGGCAAGAGAATCACTTAAGCCCAAGAGTTTGAGGTTGCTGTGAGCTGTGATGTCATAACACTCTACCCAGGGTGACAGCTTGAGACTCTGTCTCAAAAAAAAAAAAAAAGAAGCAGCATATCACATTATGGCCTCTGATATATGTCAAACCTAGATTGAAATCCAGCACTTCTAAAAAGAAGGCTTTCCAACTTTACCCAGCTCTGCTATCTCCAGCATGTATTCCTGCATGGTCCTTAATCTCTGAGCTTTAGTTTTCTATCTGGAAAATAGAGATAATTAAACTTAGACTTATAGTGAAGATTGAAATAGATAATATAAAAGGCTTAATACAGAGTAAATGTTTATTAAGTGGCTCTTAGTTATCCCCAAAAAAGCCTAGGGCCCTCAGAAGAGGTCATGAGTATTTATGATAATTCACAGATTTGGTTGTGCTATAGAGTTCCTCTTATCCCAGTAATTTAGGAACGCTTTTGGTCTGTTTGAGAGTACTGAGTTTTGCTAAAATGCCATCTGACAAAAAGTGGGTATGTTATATATGTTTAAAATACAAAATAATGCTGATTCAACAGTAAAACAGGATAATGACATTTAATTTTTATTTACACATATACAAGATTCATGTTTATAATTTTATTACATGACTTATTTTTTTCATGTTTTTATCGTTTGTATAGTGGAGAAGAAAAGATAACATATTCATTTTCTACAGATAGCTTGTTAGAAAATAATAGATGATTTATTTCATTTATTTATTGGCCTTGACATTGTTTTAGAATGTATCATAAGTAAAATCTTAGAAATTGTTTTAAGGGCAGTGACTGTGGCTCAAAGGAGTAGGGCGCTGGCCCCATATACCGGAGGTGGCAGGTTCAAACCCAGCCCTGGCCAAAAACTGCAAAAAAAAAAAAAAAAAAAGTATCATTTTAAGATTAATAGCGAGTACATTTTTACACAACCATGTTGCTTATTTTCAGGACAAAAAATATACTTCAAAATTATTTTCTTTTTTTAAGACAGAGTCTCACCATGTCACCCTGGGTAAAGTGCCTTGGTGTCTCAGCTCACAGCAACCTCAAACTCTTGGGCTTAAGTAATTATCTGGCCTTGCCTCCCAAGTAGCTGGGACTATAGGTGCCTGTCACAGCACCCAGCTATTTTTTTTGTTGCAGTTGTTTAGCTGGCCCAAGCGGGTTTGAACCTGCCACCCTCAGTGTATGTGGCTGGAGCCATAACCACTGTGCTGTGGGCACCAAGCAATACTTCAAAATTATTATTACAACAGATCATCTATCCTTTTTTGTCCTCTCCTGAAAATTAATCTACGAAAAATCTATTGTAAATGTAGGACTTTAAATTCATTCCACTTTTGTCCATCATATTCCAAAACTTTTATATATGCCACTAGTACAGTTAATATTAATCTTTTTAAATTCAGAAGTGAAGTTGTAATTTCTGATGTATTCTGCTTCTGTCACTAAAATGAAAGATGCTTATTTACTTTTATGTTGAAGTGAATCCTGGGCTGGTTATTTTAATCTCTTTGAGCTTTATAAGCTTTTCTTACCTACGTCTACTTCACAGAAGAATTAAATAAGATAATATATGTAAAGTATATAGTTCAGTGTCTGGCCCATGGGAATAATAGTTTATATTAGCTAAATTATCCATATTGTTATTATTTGAATGATTGTGAGGTTAAACAAAATAGTTTACATGAACCCTTGAAGACAGTGGCTGGTATAATATGTGCTCCATTATATATTAGCTTCCTTCTCAAATTTGTGTATTTTCATATGTCCATACACCTTTTTAAAAAATACTCATTGTGAATATTAATTGGTTCAGTATCCATGAACTAAATATAGCATATAGTGACTAAGTTTTAAAAAAATGATGTAGCTAATGTATTTTTTTCTTTAGCTTCCAGAGCAGTTGTAGCACAGCATGTTGCTCCACCTCCAGGAATAGTGGAAATAGATAGTGAGAAGTTTGCTTGTCAGTGGTAAGTGGTTTATTTCTATTAAGGCTTTATCCTTGGGAAGAATAAAGCAAAAGGAAAAAAGAAATGTATTCACCAGTCATCTAGAATGTCTTAATCCACATTTTTTTTTAATTAGAGTAGACTATCACTTATACAAAAAAAAAAAAGACCATGTAAAGTCACTTCACCTGTGTTTTGGAATAATTTGAAAGCAGAATATTCTCCAGAATTTTCAGAATTAAAGTAGCATGACTAGAATTTCATTAAATTGCACCATTTAATTTCTGTTCATAGTAAAATTTATGTTAAAAGTTACTTTGTAGAAAGTGTTGTCAGATTAAAATTAATGTTTTGTTAAAACTGAATTGGACTAACTTTAAGAAAATAAAACCAGATGTTGTTGTTAAATGTCCCTTCATTTCAATCCAAAGCAAACCTTCTTATTCATTGATAGTTAATTTTGTGTATGTGAGTAGTAAGGGGAAATTAATTAAATGATAGAATAACCAGTATGTCTGCCTTGAAATAAGCAACTGGACAATAATCTTTTCTTGAGAAGATTGAGTAGTCATATCTCAGCCACTTTTGAAAAAACCAAATGCTAGATTTCATTTGCTATAAATAGTTGCCTGTACCTTATTTATAAAGTTTAACTTAAATTATTTAGGAGAGTAACAGATTATAGTATAAGATCACTTTCTGGTAGATCTCACTTTAAAAATTTCTCTCTTTGATCCCTTTTCTCCCATTCTCTAACATTATTTGTCTTCCATTTCATGCTTCTGTCACTCTGTGTTTCGTGTTTTTGGTGCTTTCATATCTTTTCCTACAACAGTTTCTCCAGACTTTTCCAGTTTGCTTAAGTCAGGTTTATGATTTTAAATCTCTCTCATTATTTGCTTTTCCCTCACCTTCTGTACTTTTACACATTGGTCCCTTATACTTTAGGAGTTTCTTACAATAATATTTGGAAATGTTTGTCTTCTACCTTGCAACCAAATTGAAAATTATTATATCGAGTCTTTTTGAAATCTCAGTACAGAGAGGATTATGAAAATTGGAAAGAAGATATACAACAGTATAAAATCTGTGTGTGTCAAGTATACAGTTGATCTTATAAATTCCAGTTACACATTTCTGCCAATTCTTGGGAGAAGGGGAAGAGAATTCATTCTACAATGATTTTATCATAATTATTTGATTCTGTTTATAAGAAACAACTACTAAGTTGGCCCATTATGTATAGTGAATTCTGAATAGAGTCATGTAAGGATAACTGAGTCTCCAATCCGAGACTTATATGTGGAAGTCACTTTAAGCAAAAGACAAACTAAAGTTTGAATTAGTTAATAATGAATTAGCATTAGTATTGAAATGGAAGAAGGGGAATGTGTAGCATGAATTGGGGGGGAGTAGTTGAAGAGCTTGGGTAAGTTTTTTCTAAAGGAATTTGAAACAATAGCCAAGAAAAATTCAACCCTAGTTCAGTGTTTTTCCCATTTTTCTCAGTTTCAATGCAAATATCTCATAATTGGGAACTTCTTTTATACTATGATTATTATAAGACAGCAACCCAAGTAGATAGTCACTGAATAAAACTATTTCTTACGGAACATTTGTTGCCAACAGACCATCTCTGCTCTCACTGGGATGTAAACAGTTTCATATTTATTGTTAATTATATTTTTAATACTATAATTATAATTCGGTAATCTCTTTATGTAATCCAAAACAGCATGTATTTTTGCTGCTATCATATGAGGTAGTGAAATTAGATTAATAGGTATAATTATTAGTTTATCACACATTGTTTTCAAATGGCTTTAGTATACTTAAATATAGACTTTCCTATAGTATGTTATATAATGCTTAATTTTTCTCCTCTTTTAGGCTAAATGCCCATTTCGAAGTAAATCCAGATTGTTCTGTTTCTCGAGCAGAAATGTATTCTGAATACCTCTCAACTTGCAGTAAATTAGCTCGTGGTGGAATCCTAACATCAACTGGATTTTATAAATGTCTTAGGTAGGATGCATAGTTCTTCGAATAAAATTCATTTATCACTTACAACACCTTTTTTCCTTAGAGAAAAATACTAAATTATCTATCTATTTTTAAATATCTCTATAACTAGAAATTTCATATGGGTAGGTTGTAGTACAATAGAAGTTTAAATAAAAGACCATTTTGTAAATCACATATTGGTGTTTTGAAACATTACGAGTTTTATCAAAGGAAGAAATTAATTTTACCTTTTTTTTATTTACTTTTACATATTAAAGATAAAACGTTAGCTCTTTTAAATCTTGATTAATAGTCTAAAATTAATACTCTTCAACTATCAAGGCTTTTGCATATTTTGTAAGGTTCATAAAATAGGTTTGAATACATAGGTGGAATTGTTTAAAACCCAATAACACTGTTTAATAATGATTTTTAAAATTGGAATATTAATTTTCTATATTTCTTTCTTTGCATTCTACCCTTGCAGAATACAGCTTGGTGAATTTCATGAATCATACTGGTTTATACATAAGCAGCAGTAAAGACACTGCCTTTGATCATGTATACATTGTTTAAGTGAAGTGTTTTTTGCTAGAGTGATCCTTATAAAAACATACTGAATATATGTGTACATTACAGAACGGTCTTTCCAAATCATACAGTGAAGAGAGTGGAGGATTCCAGTAACAATGGTCAAGCACATATTCATGTGGTAGGAGTCAAACGGAGGGCGATACCACTTCCCATTCAGATGTACTATCAGCAGCAACCAGTTTCTACTCCTGTTGTTCGTGTTGATTCTGTTCCTGATGTATCTCCAACTCCTTCACCTGCAGGTACTAATTCTTGTTATGTTTGAAATGTTAGTAATACAACTGAATGAAAAATGTATACTATATATATTTTAAATGTATAACTTTCCCTTGTTTTTCCAGTCATTTCATTTGGAATTTTGACCTTTTCCCCATATTTTTAGGAATCCCTCATGGATCACAAACTGTAGGAAACCATTTTCAGAGGACTTCTGTTACCAACCAATCTTCAAATTTGACTGCAACACAAATGTCTTTTCCAGTACAAGGTGTTCATACTGTGGCACAGACTGTTTCAAGAATTCCACCAAATCCTTCGGTTCATACCCACCAGCAGCAAAATGCTCCAGTGACTGTCATTCAAAATAAAGCTCCAATTTCTTGTGAAGTTGTTAAGGCTACTGTAATCCAGAATTCTATGCCTCAGACAGCAGTTCCTGTTAGTATTGCTGTTGGAGGAGGACCTCCACAGAGTTCTGTGGTTCAGAATCACAGTACAGGGCCCCAGCCTGTTACAGTTGTGAATTCTCAGACATTGCTTCACCATCCATCTGTAATTCCACAACAATCTTCATTACACACAGTGGTTCCAGGACAAATACCTTCAGGCACTCCTGTTACAGTAATTCAGCAAGCTGTTCCACAGAGTCATATATTTGGCAGAGTACAGAACATACCACCATGTACTTCTACAGTATCACAGGGCCAACCGCTGATCACAACATCACCCCAACCTGTGCAAACTTCATCTCAACAGACATCAGCTGGAAGTCAGCCACAAGACACTGTTATCATAGCACCCCCACAATATGTAACAACTTCTGCATCGAATATTGTTTCAGCAACTTCAGTACAGAATTTTCAGGTAGCTGCAGGACAGATGGTTACCATTGCTGGTGTCCCAAGTCCACAACCCTCAAGGGTAGGGTTTCAGAATATTGCACCAAAACCTCTCCCTTCTCAGCAAGTTTCATCAACAGTGGTACAGCAGCCTATTCAACAACCACAGCAGCCAACCCAACAAAGTGTAGTGATTGTAAGCCAGCCAGCTCAACAAGGTCAAACTTATGCACCAGCCATTCACCAAATTGTTCTTGCTAATCCAGCAGCTCTTCCTGCTGGTCAAACAGTTCAGCTAACTGGACAACCAAACATAACTCCATCTTCTTCACCCTCGCCTGTTCCAACTAATCAAGTCCCTACTGCCATGTCATCATCTTCCACCCCTCAATCACAGGGACCACCTCCTACTGTCAGTCAAATGCTCTCTGTGAAAAGGCAGCAACAGCAGCAGCATTCACCAGCACCCCCACCACAACAAGTACAAGTTCAGCAGTCACAACAAGTACAGATGCAAGTTCAACCTCAGCAAACAAATGCAGGAGTTGGTCAGTCTGCTTCTGGTGAGTCAAGTCTGATTAAACAGCTGCTGCTCCCAAAGCGTGGTCCTTCAACACCAGGTGGTAAGCTTATTCTCCCAGCTCCACAGATTCCTCCCCCTAATAATGCAAGAGCTCCTAGTCCTCAGGTGGTCTATCAGGTGGCCAATAACCAAGCAGCAGGTTTTGGAGTACAAGGGCAAACTCCAGCTCAGCCCCTCTTGGTTGGGCAACAAAATGTTCAGTTGGTCCAAAGTGCAATGCCACCCACAGGGGGAGTACAAACCATGCCCATCTCGAATTTACAAATATTGCCAGGCCCATTGATCTCAAATAGCCCAGCAACCATTTTCCAAGGGACTTCTGGTAACCAGGTAACTATAACAGTTGTGCCAAATACAAGTTTTGCAACTGCAACTGTGAGTCAGGGAAATACAGCTCAGCTCCTTGCTCCAGCAGGAATTACCATGAGCGGAACGCAGACAGGAGTTGGACTTCAGGTGCAAGCGCTTCCAGCCACTCAAGTTTCTCCAGCTGGACAATCATGTACTACTGCTACTCCCCCATTCAAAGGTGATAAAATAATTTGCCAAAAGGAGGAGGAAGCAAAGGAAGCAACAGGTTTACATGTTCATGAACGTAAAATTGAAGTCATGGAGAACCCCTCCTGCCGACGAGGCACCACAAACACCAGCAATGGGGATACAAAGGAAAATGAAATGCAGGTGGGAAATCTGTTAAATGGGAGAAAGTACAGTGACTCAAGTCTACCTCCTTCAAACTCAGGGAAAATTCAAAGTGAGGCTAATCAGTGCTCACTAATTAGTAATGGGCCATCATTAGAATTAGGTGAGAATGGAGCATCTGGAAAACAGAACTCAGAACAAATGGATTTGCAGGATATCAAAAGTGATTTGAAAAAACCCCTAGTTAATGGAATCTGTGATTTTGATAAAGGAGATGGTTCCCATTTGAGCAAAAACATTCCAAATCACAAAACTTCCAATCATGTAGGAAATGGTGAGATATCTCCAATGGAACCACAAGGGACTTTAGATGTCACTCAGCAAGATACTGCCAAAGGTGATCAATTAGAAAGAATTTCTAATGGACCTGTATTAACTTTGGGTGGTTCATCATCTGTGAGCAGTATACAGGAGGTTTCAAATATGGCAACACAGCAATTTAGTGGTACTGATTTGCCCAATGGACCTCTAGCTTCAAGTTTGAATTCAGATGTGCCTCAGCAACGCCCAAGTGTAGTTGTCTCACCACATTCTACAACCTCTGTTATACAGGGGCATCAAATCATAGCAGTTCCCCACTCAGGATCAAGAGTGTCCCATTCTCCAGCCCTATCATCTGATGTTCGGTCTACAAATGGCACAGCAGAATGCAAGACTGTAAAGAGGCCAGCAGAGGATAATGATAGGGAAATAGTCACAGGAATTCCAAATAAAGTTGGAGTTAGAATTGTTACAATCAGTGACCCTAACAATGCTGGTTGCAGTGCAACAATGGTTGCTGTGCCAGCAGGAGCAGATCCAAGCACTGTAGCTAAAGTAGCAATAGAAAGTGCTGTGCAGCAAAAGCAGCAGCATCCACCAACGTACATACAGAATGTGGTCCCACAGGTAAGTCATTCTATCACATTTCTCTTACAACAAAATTCTGATCTGTAAATAGGATTTTAGAGGGAAACACATGTTTTTCCACGTCTCACCTTAAAGTACCATATCACCTCACTTGTACCAACCTGTCCTTGTTTTTTTTCTGGTAATATTTCTTGTAATATTTTATAGTATTAAAGTTTTTAATTTAGCATGATTTAAAGAATCTTTCAGTTTTGTTATAGACCAAGGTTAATAATTTTGTAGCCCCCCCAAAGTAGAGAAGCATTTACTAATCTTATAGCTTTTGGAGCTGTAAGATTTTATAAATGTATTTTAAGTCATCTTTTTGAATTTACTGTGGGACGTGGGGTTCCTAAGAGTGCTCTAGATGGGAATTTCTGTATTTGATTTTGACGAGTGTGCTTGAACAATACTTTTGTGGTAAAAATGAATCCCAGAACCATTTTATCAAGTGTGCTCTTGTTAAATTTACGTATTGAGTTTCCTTTACTTTTAAAAAGATACTTTTATTATTTCAGTTTGTTTTAGGCATTCTGTTACTCTTCTGTGTTTCTTAGTGTTTTGCTCTCTGGTCATGTTTCTGCTATTCCCCTTTTAAGGCTTCCTCTCCCCTGTCTGCATGCCTTAGTAAATAAGAGTATTTCTAGGGTCGGCACTACTAAATGGAGAGACTTGATTGGCTTACAGAAATTTTTCTTTTTTTTCCTGGCCGGTGCCGGGTTTGAACTCACCACCTCCGGCATATGGGGCCGGCACCCTACTCCTTTGAGTCACAGGCACCGCCCAGCTTATAGAAATTTTAAGGACAATGTTACTGTTACTGCTGAAGTCAGAGTTCTACCACCTGTTTCTTTGCTCACTTCTCTTTCACTCTGTTTTTTCCAGTTCCTGCATAGCCAGAACCTTTCGTGACTGTCTCAATTCTCCTAGCATGCTTCTGACTTGGGTTTCTTCCTGTGCTTATTGGTGATGATAGCAGATCTGTGGCAGCTGTTGGTATTAGTACCAAATTTAGTTGTGTAGAGTACAGCAATGTGGAAGATAAAAGAAAAAGAATGAAGTGTCCCTTGCTTCAGAACAATTTTTTTTTAACTAATGTGTATCTTTCTTCATATAAATGGATAAAGTTGGACAATGATTCTCTGGGGCATAGTAGCATTCTGATTTCTGTGTTTTTATCACCTAGTTCTATTTCGAAGTAACTAAGTTGTGTATTCTTCAGTGGATAATACATACATGACTAATACTAAGTTATTGGTGGAAAATAACCATTTTTATTCAAACAGGCTTCCACAAATTAAGTTTTTCTTTTAAACACAGTTTTAAAAAAATAGTGCAATATCTAGTACATAGTAGAAACTTAGTAAATTGGCTCTTTATAGTTAATAATTTTCTAGTTCATCTTGTTTATATGCCTAGTTTTGTCCTCTTTGAGTCCCTATAATAATAAATAGTTATAGACCAAGCCAAATTATAGAAAAACTCCATTGCTATGGAATTGCTTTACCAACTCTCATTTTTTGTGTCCCTAATCTTCCATTGTGACTATAGTCAATCATGATATCACTAACAAAGAAGGAGCGATAATACTAAGATGAGGAAATGTGCTAGGAACTTTGTATGAAATCAATTTCTTATTTAATTTTTACAGCCCTATTAGGTAAAAGTTATCACCAATTTAGAAATGAGGACTCAAGATGCTAAATAACTCATCCAAGGTTACCAACTACTATGTTTCCCTGAAAATAAGACACTGTCTTATATTTATTTTTTCTCAAGAAAGACACTAGGGCTTATTTTCAGGGGATGTCTTATTTTTTTTAAGTATAGTACAACAATCTACATTTATTCAGATACAGTTAAGTCATCTTCTGGAACCTGACAAGGGGAGCCGACTTTGTTGGTGGGGCTGGCACTAGTGATGCGTGAACTCCTTTTCCCTAGCCGTTCACATGTGCGCAATAGGATGCCTGCAACCTCAGTTACCACATGCGCACCTGCACAAGCATGTGCAAATGGCTCGGAGAAAGGAGCTGTGGCAGATAAAAGGTATTCCAGTCTTCCTTACTGCTCTGCGAAGTGCATGGCATGGCTATGCAGCGTATCTCCATAGTCACACCCATCACTAGGTCTTATGGGGGGGTAGGGCTTATATTTAACAAATGCATAGAAATCTTGCTAGGGCTTATTTTTGGGGTAGGTCTTATTTTCGGGGAAACATGCTAATATGAAGTGGTACCAGGGTCAAAGACTGGATGTCTCTGAAACCAAAACTCATTCTCTTAACCCATTAGCCTTCTCTCCACTCCCATTATTCTGAAAGTTCTGTAAAGTTCTAAAAAGCCTCTTTGAAAAAAACCTAACGATTAATGCAGTGGTCCCTAGCCTTTTTGACACCAAGGACCAGTTTCATGGAAGATCGTTTTTCCATGGGTTGGGGTGGGGATAGGTGGAGCTCACGTAGTGATGCAAGTAATGTGGAGCCGCTGGCTGCTGTAAGTACAGATGAAGCCTGCTGGTCACTCCTGGCTCTTAACAGTCTGCAGCCTGGGATTTGGATACTGTAGTACTACAGGGTATTAATACTATTAAATCACAATGTTAGGACATTAGTGCTAAAACTCTTTACTTAGCACACTGGACATAAATGCAGGTAATTCAAGCCATGAAATGAATATATTTTGTTCCTAATCTGAGAAATCTGTATTAAACTTTTATCTAGTCTGCCAAAGAATGTAGTTTATTTAAAATAGAGTAAAATATTATACTCTTTATTTCCAAAATTAATATGTGGTTGTTATATAGAAATCAAAACCTTTGCAAGGAAAAAAATGCCCTATGTATGATGTCTATGAGAATGAAATTTAAAACAGAGAGCTCTTAAGTATTATACTTAGCATGGTGCCAGCTACTTATTTGGGTACTTAATAGTGGTGCAGGTATATTTAATGTATAATATGAAGTATTTATAAGGGATAGATGTTTTAAACTGAGTTAAAAAAAAAATCACCTGTTCAAGATGGCATCCCAGGTTTCTTTTGAAAGTATAGGCTGTTGAGCCTTTAATAGCCTACTCATTAAGAGAAATTGATTTTTATCGTTGCCCAGATTCTTTAAATTTCTTTATATATACTCTGTAAAATTGCATTTTAAACTTTCTTTTAACACCACTTTTTTTTTTTTTTTTTTTTTTTTTGCAGTTTTTAGCTGAGGCTAGATTTGAACCCTCCACCTCTGGTATATGCGGCCAGCGCCCTGCTCCTTTGAGCCACAGGAGCTGCCCTAATACCACTTTTTAAAAGTGGTAACTTAAGGGGGTAGATTAAATAGAAGATTTAAAAGGTGATTTTTTTTTTTAAGCAAAACCTTATTATTTCCATCATTTCAAGGTGTTTAGGGATGTTAAGGAGGTACTTGGACCCCAAGAAGGGACTTTCAGACTTTCAGAATACTCAGGGCTAGAAAAACTGCAGGGAAGTGTCCCTGATGAGAAAGGCCAACAGGTAATCCTAATACCATTATTATTCATTGTTTCTTCTCAATTTTGTTCCTTTTGCCTCCATTAATCAGCTGTAATAATTTTGTTACAGAGGCTAGGCGCCCGTGGCTCAATGGTTAGGGCACTGGTCACATGCTCTGGGGCTGGTGGGTTCGAACCTTTCCCGGGCCTGCTCAACAAACGAACAAACAAAAATAATAGCTGAGTGTTGTGGCAGGCACATGTAGTCCCAGCTACTAGTTAGGCTGAGGCAAGAGAATCTCTTGAGCCCAAGAATTTGTGAGCTATGACAGCACAGCACTCTACAGAGGGTTACAGAGTGAGACTCTGTCTCAATTAAAATAATAACAATTTTGTTATAGAAAAAAATGTAACACGTAAGGGAATAATGTATGTGTATGAAAGTAAATGATATAACCATAGATTCTGTGTCTAACTAGTATTTAGCTGGGCAGTAAAATATACTTGAGGCAGATTTTTTTTATTTGTAGCTGCTTATTTTATAATAAATTTGTTATACTTCAGAGTTCAAATGCAGCCTACAGGATACTTTTCCCAGAAGCCATACCCTCTTCTATTGTTCATGAAAACTAAAATGAAAGGAACGTAACTGTCCTTACCTAAAAATAACTAAGTTTGTTAAATATACCTGTATCTGCTAAACCAATGATCTGATAACATGCCAAACTCATGTATATAAAAATAGTTTTCTTAAGAATATACCTATTTAAGGCATCTATACCTTTCTTCACTTACTCATCCTGATTGAGGATGTGAATCATTCTGGTGCTTTGTAGCAATGAATATTGGTGTCTTCTTCATTCATTCCTTTTGTTGATAAAGAGCAAAGTTACTTAATCTATTAGGAAACAGATCTGTAGCCCCAAAGGGAAAGCATTTAATAATAGCCATAAAAGATCATTTAAAAAATTCTTTTCTATAAACATTTTTATTGATTTATTCTTTTCTGAAATCATGAGTTGATCCTGTTTTGGGTAATAGCAATTATTTAAGAAAGCTGCTATGTAATTTCTGTCAAGCTTAATTAAAACTTTTCTGCTGAGAGATTTTTCTTCAAAGAGTTTCTGAACTATTTTTGTTGTTTGTTTGTTTTATCAGATTAATATGAAGTTGGAAATGATTAGATTACATTGTTTGCCATTTGTCATGCAAAGCTTCTGTTGTAGTTGTGCCCCTCATCCAGTAGAAGATCGTTTTAAAAAGTAAAACCCACAAGAATATCATTTTGATGTTTTTCTAAGAGTACATTGCTCAGATTCACACATTATAAAAACCAAGAAATGTGTTATCACTAAATGTAACTTTTTGGTTTGTATTTTAATGCTTTCTTATAAAACAAGCTTGGTTATGTATTGATGATCTATATTTATACTCATAAATTAAGAGAAAAAAACCTTAATAGTTTATTTAAGAAAATGAAGGAATGTTACAGATGAAACAGTCTTAGGTACTATCTTGTCTGAAACTCCCATTTTTTTAA